GTGCATATATATAATGTATTGCATGTGTATATATAATAAATGTATTTGGTATAAAAAAGCTTCACATCCAAGTATAGATAAATTAAAATATAAAGAGAGGAGGACCTTTTGAATTTAACCTTAAACAGAATCTATCATGAGTAGAATTCTTATTAGGATCATCGAGACATGTTTTGCCTAATTTCAAAATGCGATCAATTCAGACAGTTAGCGTTCCACTGATTACTGAGAAACACAACTCAATGAAAAGTGAGAAAAAGGGGAAAAATTATAATGAAAAGTTAGATATAGTGTCAAATACATCAATATATACATAAATCCTTTACTTAAGATATCCCATGCTTGGAAGGAACAAAAGCAATTTTTTAATTTGAATTGATAATATGATCCGTCAGTTGTGGGTTTTTTTGTATTCAAATTATCACAGCCCAAGGAAAAAGAAATTTGAACAATCAGAAGAAGAAGAAGAGTTGAAAATCAAACTAGTATCATCAACCCTAAAAGGTAGTTCACAAACCCTGGTATGAAACTTGGCTCATGCAGCCTTGTTCTGCACCTAAAATATGAAATGTATCACAAGTAGAGGGATGGACATTCTGAACCTCAGTTAGCCCTGGATTGATTCAATGTCTAAACAGAAATTCTCTCTCTTGAAATCCCAGTGGCCTTCATCTTCAGATTGTTGAAGTTATGATTATAAAATTAGCAAGTAAAACGCCCTGATATTTTACACACGTAGGCAATGAAAAAACTAAATGTGTCTAACTCTGTAAATCGACAAGTCATCGTTTTTGCTTGACAATACAGTACAATTTCAGAACTGTAATCAGAGGTTTACGCAAAGAAGGCATGGCAAAATACAGCCACAGTCAATAGGATGATGCCATTGATATTCATAACATTTCTCCAAAGTGGTATTTCGGTTGTGTCAGTCAGTTTCTTCTTCAATGCTTCCTCTTCCTCCTTGCTCAGTTTGGGTCCTTTTTGTTGGTCTAAGCCACAGAACCAGTTGTACACTTTCTTACAGCATCCCAGTTCTTCTTCACTTTCCTCATTAACTGGAAGGAACAACACACTGGTCATGAAATGTAAGGATGGACCACTGCATGCACTAGAAGATCCCTGTGACTGAGGACATTCCTATATTTAATACAGCAGTTCTGATTTACGGTCATAGTTACATGGAAACATTTTAGTACAAGGCAGTACAAGAATCAAGTTAATATTGTTTTTTCACAGCTCAACTGGAAAAAGAGTGATTTTCTACATGCTGTAAGAGAGCCTTTTGCAGAAGACGCTTGTGTCTTTTGCAGCCTAAAGACTTGGTCTGGTTTTGGAGAAGCAAACCATGCTGCAAAGCTTAAACTCCATTTCTTCAATACTTTCTACACTTTTAAATAAAAGACAAATAAATGAATTTAAGGATGCTTATGAAAAAGGAACTCGGCAGCAGAACCAGAAACCCAGCAAAGAGAGCAGGTAGTTTTGCCCAGATGGATGTCTGGCAATTCACTTTCATGGTGCCTTACACCAGATCCTTGCTCCTTCAGTCTTGGCTACTACCCACTATTTCCAAGTGAATTCTCATTGTTTCATTCCAAGTGCTAGAGTTGCACATAGTTCTGCCAATACACATAACCTCTGACCTAAAGCATCTCTGTTGTTTTAGTCATAGAACTGCCACCTAGCTACCTAGAGAACAAGATTTTCTCCCTTCAAATCTGTCACTTCTGATTTACACTAAGCTTGACAGATTGGTAAAAGGGAGTTTAACAGCCATTTAAATATGCGGGGTTTGAGGTTTTGTTGTTTCAGGGGAGGGAGGATGTCTTTGAATATCAAGCATGCTAATATTTCTTCAGGAATGATATAGAGATACTCAAATATATCTATAGAATCTATAGATATTCAACAGTTACCTGATTCCTTATCTTTTTCATCAGCTTTGTCCTGTTCCTCATCTGCATCAAGATCAATACGTTCTTCTTTGCTGTTCCGCAAAGACCAGCACAAGCGGTAAAGCTGCCATGAAACAAAATGAGTTTATAAATCTACAGCTTTACTACACAGAGACAAACCAGTCTGGCCAGCACATGAACAAGGTATAAGACCACGGCGTCCCAAATGCCTGTTAAGTCAATGGCTAAGATGATTAGGAGTCACTGAAGATTTGTGACAGATAAATAAAGACTATTTCCTCTGCTTTCTTGCAAGGACTATATGATGTGGGTAGCTGAAACGTCAGGAGGCCATGTACCAAGTACCAGTGTTTAAAACTAGTGGTTTCGCTGAGTTCCATTTCTTGCGGAGCGGGACTGCAATAACACTCACATGTACGTCAGGAATGGGCTTAGTCATGAAGGAGACTGCCAGGATGACGATGGCGGAAACCCCAAAAAGGATCATTGCAAAGTAAAGGTAGTGAATCCCACAGATGATGAACGGGCAGTTGGAAGGGTTTACACAGCTCCCGGTTCCGTAGGCAAACTCTGTAATCATTCTGCTGAGTCCAGTTAACAGCCCAACCATCAGGCCCCAGAAGGCACCCTGCAGACAAGGTGACAGAAGTTATCAAAACTAGTCATTTCAGGCAAGGAAATAAGCTCTAAGCTCTGAAGAGTTGCTGGAGGAAACATGGAGGTAGTTATGCATTGCGCTGGCTTTGGCACATGGGTTTTAACTCAGATATTTTCAGTGACCCTACTTACAGCTCAGTGTATTAATACAACTGAAAGGGGCAATGACCAGCAGCTCACAGAAAGAATATGGAGGACACTTTATCCAGCTCATTTCTCAAAGCTCATTGTCTCCACACAATGCTCTCCTTACACAGGACAGGTCTAGCCCCAGATTACACATCCCAAGGGTTGTTCTCATATCTTTTTATCTTTGAGGGATAAATCCCTGACAGTTCTAGCATGATGGAACCAGCTAGCAAGTGTGTGTTATTCCTCCTGAAATACGTCTGGTTTATCTTCTAATGACAAGAAGGCACAGTCTGAAACTGCACCAGGGGAGGTTCAGGCTAGAAATGAGGAGGCATTTCTTCACCGAAAGGGTAGTTAGGCGTTGGAATGGGCTGCCCGGGGAGGTGGTGGAGTCCCCATCCCTGGAGGTGTTTAAGAAAAGACTGGACGTGGCACTTAGTGCCATGGTCTAGTTGACATGGTGGTGTTAGGGCAAAGGTTGGACTTGATGATCCCAGAGGTCTCTTCCAACCAAACCGATTCTGTGATCCTGTGACCTTGTTAGTAAATAGTTAAAAGTTAATTCTTGATACTTTTGGTGGATGTTTTGCTGCTAGGTATGTACTACTCCAGCTCAAAGTATAAAAGACACACAGATATGTCTGGGCACAAATTGAAGTACGGGAAATTCTGTTTAGACAAAATTTTTTTTTGTTTTACTGTAAGAGTTATTGAACATTGGAACAGGTTGCCTAGAAACACTGTGGAATCTGCATCCCTGGAGATATTCAAAACCCAACTGGACAGGACCTGAGCATTCCGCTCTTGTTAGCCCTACTTTGAGTAGGGGGGGTTGCACTAGTCCAGAGATGCCTTCCAATCTCAACCATTCTCCGAGTTTGTGAAGTCAGAAAACTGATGATGGTAACACAAATTTATAAATCCCAATTAAAAAGTATTCTAGGTTTATTGGTGGGTTTAAGAACAAAACAGTTTTAATTATTCAGTGGTCAAAGTTACAAAAAGGTTTTGGAGTAGGACAAGATAGTTAATTCCATTTCTGGCAGAAAGAAGGATGATTCTAAGCAAGAAATGTTGATAAAGCTTATAAGTAATTAGAAATATTGGAGTTTATCTTATGCAAGTTCTCAGAAGCTTTGTTGCTTGTCTCCCTTATTTACCCAAATTTAAATTGTGCAGTGTACACAAATACCAGAGGATTATACTCAATTCTTACTCAGGTAAAATTCCAGCTAAAGTCAACGAAAAATTTCCAGGAAGGGCAGAAAGATTTAATCCATTTGTGAGGTTCAGCCATACTGGGATAGAAACATCCCTTGTGTGTAAAACAGGCTTTTCTTGGATATACACACACAAATAACCACTGAACTGCTCTCAAGAGAAAATCGTGAGAAAAAAGTTTGAACCGTATTCAAAAACCTTCTTTCTCGAGGCTTTGTCATTGAACTCCTCCTCCTTGGAGCAAACCTGAGCAAGAGGCAAGTATTGTTATTCCTAGTATTATAGAAAAGAAACTGAATTCCTGAGTATTGAGTTTTGGAAATGTCTGAGACCCCAGTTACCATGACTGGCCTATGGTCCCACCAAAGCATGTGACAGACCTCATGCCTTCCGAGTTACTTACAAAGGTTTAAGTACAATATTTCTCAGTTCACTGCTCTACAAATCAAAATTAGTGATTCCCAGACTAGGTCCTAAAAGCAACAGGAAACAACGCATTGAACAGCATGTTTGTTTAAAAGAGCTTTGACAAAATATATACTGGCCAAGAAGAAGGTCAAAGGTGATATGTTTGGTAAAGCAGTTTGGTGACCAATATCCTAAAAGATTAGTCTCAGATACGTCTCCATAAATTATCCATTCGACACACTTCTTGGCAAAGTGATAGGTAACCTAAGTTTCAGAGCTATCTAGGAATTCCTAAGTGACTGTTTATTTATCAGATTAGCAAAGAACCTTTTCAAACTCATCTCTGAAACCTCAGGCCCTGGGGTATGGAAACACGGAATCACGGCGCTATAGTAGGATCAAAATAAACAGGAATAAGTTGCTAATAGAAGACACTAAATCAAAAAAGCAGTTCTCCCAATGCCTAAAGGAGCATGCAGCATACGTGTTTCCCAGTTTGTACTTACCTGCTCATTGACCCGCTTGCAGAAGATGGCAAGCAGGAAGACAGCAGCAATGGGAGGTCCCAGGTAGCTAGTAACTGACTGAATATAATCAAAGAGCTGCCCACTTTGAGCTGACTGCACCACAGGAACCCAGGCAATGCTGATGCCAATTAAAACTAACATAAATGCCCTGCAAACAGAGCCAGATATTCAATTAGCCACCTGCTTAGAAGCATCTATCAGAAAGAAAAAAACAGCAATTAATCAATAATTTAAATGTCCATTTTGTATTTCAACCAGCAAAATCAAATATAATGGCCAATTACCATTGAACAAACAAAAGAAATCTAAGTTGGATATTGTGTCTGCCAAATACCTGTCAGCATACAGCTAAACATGCAATCAAAACATGGAAAATCACTTTTTTCCTTTGTTTGCTATGTCTACAGACAAATCAATAGCAGATCAGCTAGACGAACTGGCTCTTCATTGATGCTGTAGTACGGTGTAGCATCAAGCCTATGAAGAGATTTTAAATTGGTTCCCTTTGAACAGCAGTAGGGAGTGTCGAGAATTAGTTTAGCTACTTTGTGCACCACTGTCGATTAAATTGGAAGCAAGTTCTTTTTTTTTTTTTCCCCCAAAAGGGAAGTGTAGGGTGGGACAGCCCGTCTGGGCACAGGAGGCCATTGCTGCACCGCCCGCCCACGGCGAGAGGAGGTTTTCACCCAGGCACTCGGGGCCTTTTTTGAAGGCTGCACTCTGAAACGCACCGAGTGCTGGCTACGTTTGTACAGCTGGGGAAGGCTCGGCCACACTCACCTTCCAGCTAACATGAGCTCTTTCTCAGATGGTCGTGATCGAATTTTGGTGTAAATGTCCATAGTGAACAAAGTACTAGCACTGTTAAAAATGGAAGTCAGGGAGCTCATCAGGGAGGCCAACATGACTGAGAGCATCAGACCCCGCAGACCTGAAATACAAAGATATGTGAACTGGGATGAGCGTTCGGTGAGGAGTCTCAGTCCGTGGCACCATCCATGGCGCTTGTCTGACCCTTTCAAGTCAGCCAGCTATGAGTGTGTCTGGCGTATTTACGCTCTGATGCCCGCCCAACGTTCTCTTGCAATGCAAGCAGAGCAATGTCTGCTGAGCTTTGGAAAAGCTATTTACAGCAGTGACAAGGCAACTCATGAGCGTTTAGAACATAGGTACTTCTTTTGTGAATGCTGTCTGATTACGTGCTGAAATAAAAACAAAAAAATACTAAGCAAACTTTCCCCAACACTTATAAAAATAATTTCTCTTGTTTGCAGGTGAGTGCTCATTTGTTTGCAGAATATTTGTAAACCAGTTGTTTGGCAAAAAAGAAGTTTCTTTTACTGTTTGAAAATCAGAGTAAGCCACTTTTCCAGATGGTATGATCTAGTCAACACAGTATGGGGAAGTCCTGCAGTATTTTAATAATACTACGTACAACAGTTATAGTACAATGATGGGAAGTACCACGGTCCATACAATATCATAATCTATCTCTCTAGCCTTATGAACCAGCTCTGTGGTTTCCTGCAGAAATTTATCTTCTATGTATACATTGTAATCTCCAGAGTGGTGCCTTATCCTCTCATTGAACAGGTGTCCTATGGAACAATGTGTACATAGGATATTTTCTCCTCCCACCTCAGTGGGTTTAGCAGAAGGACTGCAGGTGTATGCCTCCAACTCAGAAATCCTGGCAGAGATGGTCTTTTATAAATTATTGGCAAGATAGGTTATTTTTTTACCTTCACGGAAAGGGAGCTCAATTACCATTTCATCACCCAGTATTTGCCAGCTGAGAGCTGTCATTGTCAACATGCAACTATTCCACACCTACACCTACAACTAACACAGACTACCCCTTTGATTAATAGTACATAGTTCTAGCAAGAATTTTTGAACGAAATATGGGACTTGGGCTCGCTCTATCACCTGTTTTTACAATCTGGCAGCTTCACCTTTCCTAAAACCAACACACACAGACAGTTTCTTACCATTTGGCATAAGCTCCACTACCATTTTTGGATAAGCGATATTTGTACAGCCAACTGCAGTGCCACAGTACTGCTGACAGATTTCAGGCACAACACAAGCCACCACATCTGAGGAGAGGATGATGAGATAGGGTTAGACAAGGTCATAAATAACAGATTGCTCCCAAATTAGTAGAGCTTCTAAAATTTATCTCTGTTTCAAACCACCGGATTGCTATGCTTGATATCACCCTTGGTCCGCTGGAAGGGAGGAAGGTGATTCTAAGCCTCTACCCTTCCCTTCCTCTCTAAAATAATACTGAAAAGTTCTGCAGGTCAAAAAAACGAACAAACAACCAACATTAATTTGTCAGACCACAACTGAACAACACAAGGAGCGCAAGTAGAAAAACAAGCAGAGGAACACAAAGACCCCTCCCTCCAACGTGCACATCTCTCCTCTGCCTGCTGTTAAACACACGGATGGTTAGAGAGAAGGGAAACTGGCATTTCCCCCACACTGCACTCGGGACTGTCCATGGCCCAAAATATCGCGGTCTGTGACTGATGACACTTCCTCTGATTGCCAGCACAGTATCAGCCCCGGACAGCGTTTTCCACTCATTCAGCCAGAGCGGGGCTGTAACAAACAGACAACTGGGGAGGGACACTGTGGAATTTCTCTCCCCTAAAACAGACAGCAATAGCATTAGCAGAAATCTGGGATCAGCAAAAAGAGGAAGACCCCAGTGGCTCCTTGCAGTGTAGTTAGCTTTTGCGCATACATGTGCCTGGACAATTTGGATGACAAGGTGACAATCTAACAGGTATTCTAGAAGAGACAGAGAATAGGAAATTGAGAGAGACTGGCAGTGAAAGATAGGTAGCAAGAAGAAATTTGCATTTCTGTACACATGTGCATACCTGTGTACAGAATTCGGCTGATCATTCCAGGCATCACTATGATGAACATGGGCAAGAGTTTCAGGTATCCACACATGACACAACCAGCCTTCACATGGGACATGTTCTTGCCAGAGAGACATCTTTGGACAATAACCTGTCAATGAAACATGGCAAGCATGCGTGACAACCAAGAATAGCATTTCCATGGACACACCATGCCAAGTTCCAGATACAAGGTACTTCTTAACCTCTGTGACAGTGAAAGAGCCTATTTACTGTTTCTGTTACTAGGAAAAATAAAAACTACATGAAAATAAAAGGATATGTTTGAAATAACTACAGGAAAATATAATTTATCCAGTGTATGTTTAAGAGGTAAGACTCTTTTTCACAAGATACTCTTAAAGCAGATAGACTAAAAAGCAAAAAAGTAATAAAATATTTACCTGAGCACTAGATACAGTTACATCGGGGGTTTTGTTCATTTGTTTACAAATTGTGAAGATTATCTTTCTCACAATTCAGAATACAGATAGATCATG